TTGGGAGAATATTCCCTGTCCAAGTACAACTCAAATATTTCAAATTCAGCCCCAAGCTATTCGTGGCACTTACGTAAGGACTTATGAAAGCTCCTGCGGAAAAATTACTAACTCGCAACTAGAAAAGATGGAAGGCTGAAATTTCTGGGGGATGTTCCCTGTCCAAGTACAACTTAAATATTTCAAATTCGGCCTTGAGTTACGCGTGATTCTTACGTACGGGCACTTAAAATTTCGGCTGAATGTCTGACTGAGACTAGGTTACTTTTAAAGAACGATCGTTAAATGGAAATTGTACATCTACTTTATGCAAAATTTATGGTGATTTATGCTAGTGATCCCAAAAGGCAGGTATAAAGCAGCAACCATTCATGCAGTTAATAACCTGAGCATTTCGAGTCCAGTGCAAAAACGCATGATCGCACGGGCCCGCCCGGTGCGTTCCAGCCTGGGTTTTTTCTAGTGAAATTCTGAGGTGAAAAAACCCGACTTGGAAATGAAGCACAAGCCGCGCGCCTGTTTCTTTTTCACTATAAAATAAATAGCAACTGCACCAGACTAGCCGGCACGATCAAGCGTTTTGTGCAATTCGTCCACCGGACGATTGCCAGTTAATGATTTTCACTGCTTTGTAATTTAGTCTGTGCAAAAATAGTTGAAACGTTGAAAAATAGTTAAAAATTTCATGCGCCGACACGTGAAATCTCACGCACCAGCAATAGAACAAAACTACAGCTTCTTGGCTTTTATATTTCCTGAGATAATAATTTCCCCGCCAAGATTTTCATGGGGCCGTAGCTGACACCCGAGAGCGCGAGGACGCAGAACTTGAATTTGCAAGGTCGTACGTTGATGAGAAAAAAAAAGGAGTAGAAGCAGAATTAAAAGTTTTACTTCTTCACTCTTGGTGGTTAGAAATTCCTTCTTCCCCGTCAGAAACGCCGGGTTCTTCACTGCCACGCGGGTTTCTTTTTTAACAGAATCTAACCTTTATCTTTCTCTTCAAAAAAACAACAAGCCGCAAAACGCCTCAATCTATTTTCTTCGAATTAAATAATAACCTACAATCTTCCAATCCAACAATAACCAATACTCTTCTAATCCAACAATAACCAACAAGATTTCAAGTCAACAATCATCAACACCCTTTCAATCCACCAATAACCAAAACTTTTTCAATCCAACAACAACCAACAAAAAAACTCAATTCACGCTCTTTTTCAACCACAATCCAATCAAACCGACCGCTCTAATTCTCCAGTCCAACCAACAACAAAAAAAAGCCACACCAACGCTT